TAATCAGTTTCATCCAAGAGTGCTTGGAGTTGTCCCGCCACCACCCGCTCCAACACCTTGCCCAGAAACAGGATGTTGGCCACAGGTCTATAGTTAGTGGCCATCTCTGGATCCAGTGACGCTTTCTTCAGGACCGGTTGGACTACCGCCTCCTTTAAAGGGGCAGGCCCCCGACCCTCCCTCAGAGAAGTGTTAACCACTTCCAAGATCCAGGTCCCAATCCCGTGCTTGGCGTTGTTTATTAACCAAGACGGGCAAGGGTCCAGTAGGCAAGTGGTGGGACGTACTCGTCCAAGCACCTTGTCCACATCATCGGGCCGCAATAACTGAAATTCCTCCAATAATTCTGGACCAGACGGCAGCATTGGCATCTCCCCAGTAACCTCTGATTCATTAGTGGTGTCCAGCTCGTGACGAATCTAAGCGATTTTCTCCCTGAAATGCCTGGCAAAGTAGTCACAGCGGGCCTTTGAGGGTGGAACCGGATCTTCCTTAGGACCCGGGCGAACCAGGCCTTGCACCACTCAAAAAAGCTCCGCCGGACGGCATTGTGAGGAGGCAATGGAAGTGGAAAAAAACCTTCTTTTTTGCCACCCTCACCGCCACAGCATAGGCCTGATAGTGGGCTCTCAAGTGTGTTCGGTCAGATTCATCCCGTGATTTCCTCCACCTACGTTCTAGCCGTCTCCCAACCTGCTTCATCGCCCGCAATTCAGGTGTATACCAAGGGGAAGAGCGGGCTCTGCCCGGTGGGAGAGGACGCTTAGGAGCGATCGTGTCCACAGCCCTGGTCATCTCCCTGTTCCACAGTTCGACCAGAGCCTCAACAGGAGCACCAGTCTTGTCAGCCGGAAATTCCCCCAGGGCCTTCAGGAATTCATCCGGACCCATCTGGCTCCGGGGGCGGACCCACACAATCGGATCTGCACCCTTTCAGAGAGAGAGGTCGCTCTTGAGCACAAACCTCAACAGGAAGTGATCTGACCATGACAGGGGAGTCAAACATAAATTCCTCACCCTCAGACCACCCTCTTCCTGCCCCGTCAAGAAAATCAGGTCCAGAGTGTGTCCACGTTCATGGGTCGGGCCGGAGACATGTTGAGACAGCCCCATGGCCTCATGGAGGCCATGAAGTCCTGAGCTGCCCTGGTCAGACCAGTCTCGGCATGGAGATCCTGGGGGTCCTCAACACCAGGTCCGAGACGGTCTCCGTCAGCTCAGGCAGGGAGACTGTTGGGCAGAAGGGTGCACGGTACACCAACAGAATCCCCAATCTGTCTCTGTCGCCCAACACCAAGTAGAGGCACTCCAGCCCTGGTCTCGAAGGGACCGGAGGTCCCATGAGAGAGATGGAGGCTCGGTAAACCACAGCGACCCCCCTCCCCTCCCCTCTGGGCGTGAACGGTGCTGAACCAGATACCTGGGCGGGCACAGTTGAGAGAGGGCAACATCCCCCCCCCTCCTGCCCAGGTCTCCGTTATGCAAGCCAGGTCGGCCCCCTCATCCACAATCAAGTCATGGATGAGGGAAGATTTATTGTGGACCGACCTGGCATTGAGCAGCAGCACCGTCAGGCCCGAGGGGCGGTTGACAAGACTACCTGGCACCCTCTGGCTGGGGGCAAAACCAGAAGGAGGGATAGGTGTCAGCCATCTGTCCCTCCTTCTTCTACGCAGACACGTTAAGCCCACCGCTGTTACGTCCATTGTCCAAGACCACGCCAATGGCGGCACCCGCGCGCTCCCCAGGAAACATAAACGTCGACATGGCCAGGGACAACTCCATAAAAACAGATTAAAATAGAATAAAATTATAAAAGCAGTTAAAAACTCCCCCTTCCCTAACATTCAACGGCAGGCAGGCCAATTTCAACAAAAGCCCCTGGCCAGCCCAGCCCCCCTAACGGCTCCCGAATGGCACCCAAACGCCGCCGGCGCTTTGAGGCCGCAGGGCGCTCCCGAAGCCCCGCCCTGTCCCGCACGCCTCTCACCCATGCGGGGGGGCGGGGCCAACCGGAACCGGTCCTGCGTCCTGGCCGGTGGTACTGGCCTCCGTTGGCAGTGTGGCGCGGCAGTGTGCAGCCGGTGGCGCGCGAAGGTCCTTCCTCCCTGCAGCGCGGGGGAGCCGCGTGCAGCCGGTGGCGCCGTGGGGGAGCCGCGTGCAGCCGGTGGCGCGCGAAGGTCCTTCCTCCCTGCAGCGCGGGGGAGGTGTGCCCCGTCCGGCGCGCTGGTTCTCCCTCAATTATGATTGCTGTCTGAAAAACCTGCACTTTTAAACTCAATGCACCGAACAGAATAGGAGCAATGTACAGATCATGTTTCGGGCTCCTGTTCGCTCTCTGTCTGGAAGGGGCTTCTGCAAGGAGCCGGAAGCCCTGGAGGCAGGGGAGGACCGGCCGCAGCAGCTGCCCCTGTGCGTGAGGCGGGTGGGGCAGTGCCGAGACCTGCCCATCTGTGGGGCGGAGAGCAGGGAATCCGGCCTGGCGCAGCCAAGAGCTGCAGGGGCCGCCCCCCCCCCCCCGGGCAAGACGCAGCTCGGAAGCGCAGGCAGCCACGCTCTCTGGGGATGCTTGGCGCACTCCCTCCGATGGCCTGAAAGGGGCAGGCTACGCAGGCGGGTGTAATGCCCTTCACGGAAGGCCTGACGCACTCCCGAAGGTGGCCCATGCCCAGGCCACGGAACACGCCACTCAGCCCCCTTTCTGTCCACCCCAGGCTGCGGGGCAAAGGGACCTTCCCCAGCGGTGAAGCCCACTGGGACGGTCTGGCTGTCGGGGAGGTCTCTTCTGCAGACCCGGGCCTGCAGGTCCCCTTCAGACACAAGAGGCACAGGCAGATGGCCCCAAGCCACGGCCCGGCTGCTGGGGGAACTGGCGAGAGGAGCCCCACACTTCAGTCCCGTGCAGGGCCCAGTGGCAGTCACTGGCTGCTGCGGCATCCCAATGGGGCAGCTGCGTGTCACCGGCAGCTGAGAATGAGACCCCTTGGGAGGAGGGTGCGTCTCCCCGCCCCCCCCCCCAGCCCATTGCGCTGCTGCGGCTCTGCTCACACGCAGGGAAGCCGGGCATGACCCAGAGCATCCCTACGCATCCACCAGTCAAAGATAACTTATGTATGTACTTCCATTTCTATACGGTCCAACAGCTGAAGCTCTCCGAGGTTGCCCAGCCTTTTCTGGACTCAGGGGCACAACTGGGACTTTGAGGAAGGGCTGCGTGCCCCCCAGGAAGTGCCTGCCAGTGGGTCACACTTGGACCACGACTGCCGGACCACTGGGCCTTGCGTGGGCTGCCCCCATTCAGCAAAGCTGCCTGTTTCCAGCCTGCTGGGCAGACTGCCTGCCTCTCACACTCTCAAGGAACTCAAGGGGGCCGACATGGTTCTCCAGCTCCACTCGGTCTTATCCTCACAACAGCCACCTTGTAAGGCAGGCTGGGCAGAGACTGTGCCTGGCCCCGAGTCGCCCCGTTGGCTCCCTGGCTGAGCACGGACTGGAGCCCAGATCGCCAGAGTCCTGTCATGCTCTTGTCCACTAGCCCACGCTGGCTCCTATCCAGTTGGGAAGGTGAGAAGGGCTCGGCTGGATCCAGCTGATTTGCCCTGATCTGCAGGGGTCCCAGTGGGGCACGCTGGAAGAGAGCCGCTGGGCACAGGCAGGCAGCCTCTGATCCTGCAGCCAGGGCTGCGCCGTCAGCCGTGGAGAGCCTTCTGCTCTACAAGGCTGCCCAGAGTCGAGGCCAGTGAGGCGGGCTCCCCAAGAAGTCCTGCCTGCGACCTGCCCCCACTGTCTCCCCAGCCAGCTTTCTGGGGTGACCCCTTTGGGCTCTGGGGTTGTGGGAGTGAGGGGGAAACACCTCCGCGGCCACTCTCCCCGCACTAAGCAACCATCAAGTCTCTCCCGCGCGCCCTTTTCAGACTAAGCCGTCCTCGGGTGGGGTTGCTCCGACTCCCTGGTCATCACAGGTGTGCCCCCCGCCCTGCAATATCCAGCTCAGGGGCAGCAACCAAGACTTTCCGTGTGGTTGCACATCAGAGTCACGCACGGCAAGACGCCCTGGCAGGTGCATTTCCAGCAAGATGGGACTTTACAGCAAATGTTTCTTATAGACAAGAACGAACTTTTGCCGAAGTTCATTTGCTCTGGTGATTATACAGGTAAATCTTGTACTCAAACAGTCGTCCCTGTTTGCTGAGGACGATGCTCTTCAGTGTAACGGCCTCTTTGGGATCCTGTTGGCAGCTAAGGCCCACATCACGCCCCTGGAAGGAGAACCCTCGCCTCCTGCGGTGGCCGACTGGAATCGGCACGGGGCTTTCTACACTGGCGCGGGCGGTGCGCAACAGCCACTCCAGGCAGCCGCGAATTTCAGCCTCTGTCCCACTTTTGCTGAGGCCAGTCTGTGATTGCTCGAAAGCCGGTGCGTTTTACACAAAGCAATATAGGATGGAGATACAACCCAGAAATAAGCAGAAGGCTTGGGTGCCTCTGAGCGCCATGTCGGGACTGCTTTGCAGGGGCCCTGGGGGTGCCGATGGGACCCCGGCTCCCCAGGCAGTGCCCTGTGATGCTGCCCCAGAGCAGTGATTTTGGGAAGGAGCGGAAGATCACCCAGGCTGGGAAGCCTACAGAGCTTAAAGGTTCCCCCCCCCCATTGCTTTGTTCTTTCCAAATATTTTACCTCTCTAGACTTTCCGAAAACAACTTGTCTTCAATTCTAACAAAAAAGTCATGAGCCGAAGCTGCTAATCATTTCGAAATTCTGTTTTGTTTTGCGTCTTGCTCGACGGGGACCAAGTAGAACAAAAAGAGCAAACCCAGAATTGCACCGTGGGCAAGACCGGGCAGGAAGGCGGGCACCTCGCGGGGCGACCCGGAGGCCTCGGAGGAAGCTCTCGGTGGGGTCCTCCGCGCCGGCCGACCCGCTCCACGCGAACGGCCCCGAGGCTGCCCTCCGGCCGCGGCTGCACCGCGCGGCCCCCCAAGAAGCGCCTCGAGCGCAGAGCTGCGCGCGGTCAGTCCCGTCCGGGGCGGCGAAGCGAGGCGAGGCGAGGCGGCGGGAGAGGCGCGGTCTTCGTCCGGTGGCGGCGGCGGGGCGAGGGCGCGGCGTCCTCCGGCTGCCCCGGGCGCCTGCTCAGTGCGGAGCCGCTGCGGGAGGCAAGAGGCGCCGTCAGCCGGGCCGGGCTCCTGGGCGCAGCCGCGGGAGGGCCCCCGCCGCAGGCCCCGGGAAGGGCGCGCGAGCCCCGCGGCGCCGCCCGCCCGCCGACGCGCCGGGCCGCGCGCCCCGTGAGCAGGACCACGGCGAGCACGGCTGCTGCCCCGGGACTCACCGTGGGCGCCGCCGGCCGGCTTTGGCCTGATCCGCGGCGGGGCCTCTACATCTAAGGCGAGAAAGAGAAGCGTGAGGCTCACGCGGCCGCGGCGGCCCGAGCCCCGGGAGCCGAGCCCGGGGGGCGCAGGGCGAGGCCCGGCCCGGCTCGGCCCTTCCGCAGGGGCCCCGCCGCGAAGCCGGCCTGCCCGCGCAGCAGCGCCTCCGCAGGCCGAGGGGCCCGGGAGCGCTCCGGGAAGGGCGAGCGCCAGGGGCGGGAGGGCCGCCCGCGCGGGAGGCGCCCGAGCCCGCGGAAGCCGCGCCGCCGTCTCGCCAAGCGGGCCTGCGCCACAGCGCTCCCGGGGGAGCTGCGGGCGTGGGGCCCTTCAGGCCGGGGCAGCGGCTGCTCGTGGGTCGGAAGCCCAGCTTAGTCCAGGCGCCCAGGCGCCCCGGGGGCTGCGGGAGTGGCGTGCTCTGGGCGGGCGCGCCGGGCCGGGAGAAGAACGGCCGGCCGGGCGGCCCGCCAGGCCCGGCCTGCCCGCGGCAAACAGGAGGCCCGGCCAGGCCGCCTCGCCGCTGGACGGAGCGGGAAGCCTCGCCTTGATCCGAGCGGGAAAAGCGCAAGCGCCGGGCCGGCCCGTCTGGGCGCTGCTTCGTCGCGGCCGCGCCGGCTCCTCCCGAGGCTGCCCGGGCGGGGAGCGCTGCTTGCGCTCGGCGTCCTCTGCGTCAGGGGAGCCTTGCGGGCCGCGACCCACGAGGCCGTGCCCGGGAGTCATGCGTGGAGTCCGTGCGTACAGCTGCAGTTTTGGGGGCCGGGAACTCAGAAACGCACCTGCCCAGGTGGGAGGAACAGGCTGGGGGGGCCCAGGGGAGCCAACGAGGAGAGGCGGTTGCTGCCAGAGATGCCCAGGAGAGTTTCCTGTGGGCCAGGCACAGGTCCAAAGCCCCAGGAGCCCTGCCCGCTCCGCCCCGCTGCCTCCTTCTGGTTGCTCTGCTGCTCCTGCCTCCCCTACCCGCCCGGTGGCTGGGGAGAGGCAGCTGCCCTTGCAGGGGCCTGCTCTGGTGGCTCACGGAGGGGCTTCCAGCTTCGGCTGAGCCCGGGGGCTGCAGGCTGCCCACGCCTGAACTGGGGCGAAAATTCTCAGGCTTTCAGAAGAAGAGCAGCAGCGGCTGAGCGAGCGAGTGAGCGAGCGAGCGAGCGAGCGGGAACAGCAGTCCTAACCGGGGTTGCAGCCTTGGGGGAACATGGGGGTGGTCCTTGCCAGGAGAAATCAGCCCTGCTCAGTCTTGGGAACTGCCAAGCATTGGCCATCCTGCCAGGCGCAAGATGCTTGCAGTCAGCCATAAACCTGCAGGGCAGCAAGAGGGAAGGAGGGGAAGCGGGGGCAGCCGCCTAGTCCACAGCATGTGGGGGCCAAGGGCAGAGGGATCCCCGGAAGGTTCCAGGGCACCTGCGGAGGGGGTCCCCTCTGCCCTGGCGGGTCCAGGCACCTTTAGCGGCAGGACTACATCCCTGCATCTTGCCCGGGGGCTGCTGGGGAATATGGGTTTGCAACGCAGACTGCGTGGCACGCCACTGGGCTGCATCTGGTGGTCCACGCATGGCGTCGAAGCCACGGGGTCCGTGCGGCATTCCTCTCCATGCGGAGGTTGAAGCTGGGGGGAGCCAGCCATTCCCCAGCGCCCATCAGCGCCTCTCCCGGGCCTTCCATCTGCTACGAAATCATTTCTAAGCTGTATGGCCGACTGCAGGGCCGCGGGGGGCACAGAGAGGGGTTTACAGGATCCCATGGGAGCGGGTTCCTGGTCAACGTTGCTCTGTGTGGACAGCCGCCCGCAGGCCGTGCGCAGTGCCCCCTGCAGCCACCCCGCAGCCCTGACTCACCTTCTGTCCCCTCGGTGGTGCTCGGCCCCTCCAGGTGTTCCTCGTCGCCTGCTTCGCCGCCCCCCTCCGGGCTGAGTCCTTCCGGCTCCGTGTTCTCCCCAGCAGTGTCGGATGCTGCGGGGTGGGAGAGCGCATGAGGGAGGGGGGCCTTTCTGCTTGGGCCGCCCTAGACTCTCCCGCGTGCCCGTTCCACAGGGCGGCTCCAGCATCGGCACTCCCTGCCCCACATCGTTCTGTGCATCCAGATCAGCTCCTTCCTGGTCTAAATTCTCAGCTGAGTATTGAAAAAATCTATCTTCCTCGTCTTGAGAAGGCAGCTAAGGTGCTGTGCTCATTGGAGCCATGCAGGTGCTGCCCCCTTTCCTGGCGAGGAAGTGGCTGGGGCAGGATCAGCGCCCCACTTGTAGCGCCCTTCCTGGTTCACAAGACGGCCCCACGGCACACAGGAGGCCAAGGGTGGCTGCGGTGTGGCTCGGCATAAGAGCCCCGCCAGCCCGGCCTGCAAGTGGCCCACGAGGCCTGGCCTGCCCAGGCTCTGCCACCGCACTTGCCCCAGTGTGCTCCTCTTTACACTTGTGTAGGCTGAGCATCAGCTGCCCTTCATTTCCCGATCCGATCGTGAGGTTTGGCGCTTTCCGCATTTTGCTGGGAATCCCTTCCAGCCTGGGCAATTTGGGGTCACCTGTGAGCCTGACCCCTCCCTGCTCATTCCTAGTCCCTGGACCCTGGAAGCGCGCCCCCCCCCCCCCCCAGCGACAGGCTGGTTCCGAATCTGCGTGAATTAGACGGGGACCGAGGAGCTGCTCTGCGGTCAGCGAGGCAAGGCAGTCCACTCCCCGCCACCATCAGCTACCTTCTGCTGCCTAATGAGCTGCGAGGACCGTCCTTTCCGGCCAGGACGGCTCCGTTTCCTCGGGGGTCTTCGCTTGGCCTTCCGCAGGGCTGCTCGCTCGGAAGGTCCCAGCAGGGAAGACACACCTGGCGGCGCTCGCTCTCCCCCCCGCCCCCCGCTCAGCATCCTCTCGCCTGGCTGACCCACCTGGGTGGAATCCTATTGTCCTCAGCATTTCAGCCACGTGATCCACGTTCACAGAAAAGTGGTCCATGTTCTCATAGCCAGACTCCGGCCGGCTGCTCATGGACACCTTGGACATGTCTGTGATCCTGCAAGACACCCGCCCTGCCTTAGCACCAGCTCTCATCCCGCCAGGAGGGGGCGCACGGAGAGAAGAAGAGATGCCCAGGTCCTTCCAAAGTCGGGCGGGGGGGAGCGCTGGAGGATGCTCCTGCCCACCCCCCACAAGTCCAGCTCTCCAGAAGAGGAACTGCCAGTTTTCCTCTGCGTGGGGAAGGGGGCTCAGGTTTAAGAGGGCCCCACCCCAAGGACAGGAGATGCCCCCCACCGGCTCACGGCCTTCTCCTGGGGACGCTTTCCTGCTTTTACCTGCTTCGGAGGGCTGTGTGAGGCCCCAGGGATCCCAGGGGGGTGGAGAGGCGGCAGAGTGCCCCGAACCTTGATGGCTGACCAGACTCTGCCTCCGTCCTACAGTGTCATCGAGGGGAGACCACCTCTGAAAAGTGCTCAGAGCCCTCAGTGACCCCGGGGAGCACAGGCGGCCTCCTGGCCTGCTTCTGGGCAGGCCAAAGTGATGCCCCAGCCGTACAACCGAAGGGCACCTCGGAGGCCCCATCCGGGCCAAACGGCAACTTCTGCATCAGCAGGGGTAAACCAGCAGAGCGCTTCAGCCAAGAGCAGAAGCCGGTGTTGCTTCCTGGAGAGCCAGCGGGGGAGCCGAGGAAGGGCTCTGTGGGGCCCGGCCTCGGCTTCCAGAGGGCACGCGAGACCCGGCCAGGCGCACGAGGCGTCCCAGCTGCAGGACACAGTTCGCTCTGCACACGAGGGCTGGCAGCGGCCTCGGCAAAGAGGGTCCCCAGCCGCCTGCGCCCCCGCGAGCTCCGAGCCGGGCAGGGAAGCTGCTGTCGTCGGCAGAGCAGCCGGCTGGGCGGAAGCAGGAGGCGGCCGGCAGTCCTGGTGGCACCAGGGCACGGCGATGCGGGAAGGGTGCCCCCCGCCCAGCTGGCACCCAGCTAGGCCCAGGGGGCTGCTCCTCGCTGGCGCACTGGCTACTCACTTCTTGATCAGCTCCTTCGACTGCTGTGTGGGGTGGGGAGAGAGAGGGAGGGTTCAGCAGCACTGCTCCTGCCTGGCCCCCCAGCTCAGGCAGCAGCCCTCCCGGCCCCCCAGGCAGGCACCTGAAGGTAGACGGCCATCTGGGGCTCCTCCATGGACTGGATGGCGCTCTCCACCAGCTTGGAGGAGCTCTCGAGGTGGTCCCCGTACTGGCGAATGAGCCCCCGCACCAGCTGGACCTTCTCCTCCTGCTCGCGCCCGATCTCCTGCAGCAGCTCCTTCTTGCGCTCCTCCAGGATGCCATACAGCGAGTCGAAGCGCAGGCAGAGGTGCTGCTTCTGCCGCCGAGCGTTCTCCTGTGGGAGGGGGCACTCCTGAGCGCGGCCCACCCCCCAGGCCAGGGTGCCCCCCACCACGTGCTGCCTAGAGGCAGGAGGAGGGGTGGGGCTTGGAGGGAGCGGTGTCCCCCGGCCCGGGGCCCATGGGAGAGGCAGGCCCCCCGTCACCCACCTCGATGGTCTTGCAGATCTCTTCCATCTGGCTGATGATGGCCTGGGCCCGGTCGTTGCCGGCCACCAGCATGGCGATGCCGTCGCTCAGCTCCCCCTGCAGAGGCCGGAGGGGTCGGACACGGGGAGAGGGGTGTGCCTGGCCAAGCCGCCCCCCCCCAGCCCCAGCCTTCGGGGGCACCCACTCGGAGTGCTGGGCTGGCAGGCGGGAACACGGCAAGGGTAGGGAACCTGGGCTGAGCGCACCCCCCCCCCAGCAGGCGGGCTTGTCTGGAAGCGGCTGCGGGGGGAGCCAGAGGCCCTGGGATACAGCCGGGGGGTGGCTCCCCCACCCCAGTGCTACCCAGGCAGGCTGCTGCCCTTGGCAGGCCAAAGCCAGCCGCTGGGAGGCAGTCGGCCCTCTGCGGCGCCGGCTCTCGCCCGCCACGTCCCCCAGGGCCCCCGGCCCCACCCCGCACAAGCACCCTTGGCACCCGGCACAGGCGGGGGCCCCAGAACCCCCCTGCCCACTCGGGGGAGATCCAGCCCGGGCTGCCAGGGAGGGGGGGTGGGCTGTGAGGGGGCGCCCCATACCTTCTGGCGCTTGTAGACGCTGCTCAGGGGGGCGACGTCACAGTCCTTGTGAGCCCCGAAGACCTTGCACATGGAGCAGGTGGGCGTCTCGCAGGTCAGGCAGTAGATGTTGATCTTCTCGTCCTCGTGCTCCTCGCACAGCAGCTGCTGCTCCGCCTTGGCGTGGAGGGGCCTGGCGCAGAGCGGGCGCATGAAAGCCCCCCGCCAGCCCCACCCCGCCCCGCCCCGCCCCGGTTGTCCAGCCCTCCTGACAGCCTGGGAAGCGGCAGCGGCCGGGGCAGCCCAGGGCCCCCCCACGGCGGCCCCTGCGGCCCCTCACCCAGCGCAGAGCCCGGCAAGAAGCTCGGCTGGCTTTGGCTCAGAACATCAAGCTTCTATCCCTGTGTGTGGCACGTGTGAGCTCAGGATGGGGTAAGCCGGGAAATCTCGGGGAGGGAGGTGTCGGGGGCCATGCTTGGGAGAGCGGGGGGGGGCACGGTGGCCAGGGGGCAGCTCGTGCCAGGCCCCAAGCTTCACGGCGCCTTTGCTCGGGGGGCAAGCGCAGAACCGCCCTGGGGCTCCGCTGTGTGGACTCCTCCCTGGACAGCGCCGCCTTAACTGCCTTCAGGCGCGTTCGCAGGGCTGGAGGGGAGGCCACTGAGCACCACGAAGGGCATAAGAGCCGCAGCCGTTCCCCCTTTAAGGGTCCCCCGCAAAGAGCCCCTGCAGGAAGCGCTGCGGAGAGGCGCTCAAGCCAGGTGGGAACGGCCCTTTGGAGGCCCAGCAAGGCACGCGGGGGCGCTCCGTCCTGCCCCGTGGGCGAGGGGGCTCTGGCCCACCTAAGCATGCAGCTGGGAGGCAGGAGAAGGCCTGGCTCCAGCTCCAGCAGGAGGACCCGCCGGGATGCGCGCAGAGAGGGCCTGCAGGTCAGCCGTGGTACTGCCGGTGTGGGCCTGTCTGCCCGCCCCCCCGCCCCCCCCCACAGTACCGAGAGGACTCCTGCTTGTAGATGTCGATGATGTTCTCCACCAGCAGGTTGCGCTGCAGCCCGTACACGCCGTGCCGATCCAGCACCACCTCGTGCCGGCAGGACGGGCACCGGAACCGGCCGCTGGAGGACACCGAGCTTGACCCGCGGGATTGCCAGAGCGGGTTGGAGGCCTGGTGGTCGGAGGCACAGGGTTGGTCTCTGCCTGGCGGCCGGGGTTCAGGCGGCGCAGCCCGTGTCCCGCCCTGCCAAGGGGGCTCTGCTCTGAAGGGGGCACTGGAAGGCGCCTGGCGTGGGGGCCCTCGAGAAGTGCGATGCCCCGAGGCCCTGACGACAGGCGGCCCTCCGACTTCCCTGCTCCTGGCACAAAGGGCTTGGCCAGAAGCGGCCTCCCCAGCAGTGCCCAGATGTGCTGGGCTGCCACTGCGGCCTGTGCCATGGGTCGCCCTGGCTGGAGCCGCGGGGAGCAGAAAGCCCAGGGAACCGAAGGCCCGGGGGCAGGAAGCCGCACTGCAGAGGCTGAGCAGGCTGCCCAGCCCCACGCACCTGGCGAGGCCGGTTGTGGTCCCAGTGCCATGAAGCCCCCAGCCGTGGACACGCTGGAGGGTCTCTACCCTCTCCTCTGAGCAGACCTCTTGAGCCCAGGGGGCAGCTGCCCTTCCCGGAAAACACACCCAGATTCTACCTTGTGCTGCTCTCGCCCTTTTTCCCACACAAAGCACAAACCCCGTCTGGACGGGACACGTGTGAGCGAGAGGGGGTCCCGGCCAGATTCAGTGGGGCTCCACCCTCCCAACCGAGCCCCCATCTGGCGGGTGCCCCAGTCTCCCCCCAGGGAAGAATACGAGTTTGCCCAGTGGCCAAGCAACCAGGCCCAGTTGCTCGGTGCTCTGTCAGCACCACAGGAGGGTTAACCGCATAAAATACAACAAGGCCCGGAACGGCGCAGAGAAGCCCGCAGGCAGGCATGTGGCGCCAGGTGCCGTAAAAAGAAGATGGAGGTAAGCAGGTATAAAAGAAACCGAATGTCCCTTTTGCGGCGCATGAGGATTGGCCAGAGGGGCTCATGCGATTGCTGGCCTGCGCCTGCAGCACGGAGTCGTGTGCGCATGCGTGGGCAGTGCCTTGCTGGTGCTGCTGGTCTCTCGCGGTCGTCAGACCCAGACGTGGACAAGGGGGCCTCCCTTTTCGGTCCTGGGCACCGGTGACAATTGCTGATGGTGCCAGAGGCAGGGCCAGTCCCTGCAGGAGGCCAGGCCCAGCTCTGTGAAGGCACTTGCTCCTAGCGAGCGTCACCTGGCACCCCACAGAGTGTTTTCCCTGTGACCTGGGCGGGCATTCCCTCCTTTCTTTCAAGCTTCCAATGACTGACGCACCACAATCAACCAGTCTGTCTATTCTGCCCTTCGCCAGTGATGCTGCTCTGGGGACGGTATGCCGCTCAGACCCACACACCCCGCACAGACTTGCTTTCACGAGGATGTCCCCTCCACATGGCTGAGGAGGCTGGAGCCCACATGCCTTTGCGTAGAAGAAAGGCACCCCAGCCGCCCTCGGGCAAGATGCCCAGGAGTGGCTCTGGCGGTCTGCAGAGCACACCCTGGCCGGAAGGTGGCCTGCGTGGCGCTCGCTTGGCACCCGAGGCACCGGCCTCCACATGACGCTCAGCCTGGGAAGCAGGATGGGTGCTGGTGGCGCGGAGCCTCGCACCCTGCCCTGGCCTTTCCGCTGCTCGCACATGCGGCCCGTTCCCACGCCTGGGTCCCCTCGGAGGCGCAGCACCTGATGCCACCGTGAGCCGCAGACCACACAAGAGCGGTTTTGCAGCAACAGGTGCCTCAGATTGTCCGCACTGCGATCGGAAGGCACACACTTGGGCTCAGCCGGACGCTGCCAAAGGGCCTTTCCTTAGTTTGGTGGCGGATCTGAAGACGCCCCTGCCCAGAGGGAGCTCGCCAGCGGAGTGCCATGGGGCTGGGCCCTAGGCTGGCATGGACAGCGGTCTCCCTGCTCTTTGCGGCGGTTTACTAATGTAGCTTCCCCACTGGATAATCCACAATACTGTGATACTCTCACCTGCAATGCTCTTAACCTAGCCAGACAGGAAAAAATAAGGCATTTCCAGGCTATTTCCCTTGGTCTTTTCCTAATATTTATTACATTCTTTTCTGCCTTGTAGCCAAGACGACTGAGCTCCTCTACAGTTTGGGCACCCAGAACAGACATTCAAGCTTTGTGTCCCAGGCTGAGCTGTTACACATGCAAAGGTGAAGGTAGCCTTGTTAGGTTTTATGAACTCCCGTAGCGCTTCCAACAGCCTTCCCAATCTGAGGTGCTCAGTTCCTACTTCACCTCAGTCTTCTTTCCCAAGGAAATCTACAACCAAGTGGAAGTACAAGCTGGAGGTGAGAGACGGCAGCCCAAGATTGGCAGACAAATGGCCAAGGAATTCCTAGGTGGAATGAACATGTTTAAATCTTCAGGGACTGATTCATTTCATCCTGGAGTCATAAGAGAGCTGGTGGAGGAACTCTCAGAACCACTGGCTATTATCTTCGATAATCTTGCAAAACAGGAAAAGTGCCAGACGACTGGAGAAGGGCGAGGGTTGCCCCCATCTTCAAAACAAAAAAAGGGGAAAAAGAGGAACCTGGGAACTATATTTTATTATAGAAATAAATTCTATTGTAGAAAAGAATAATAGTAACAGTAAGTTCCTAGGCATACTTGTCAGTTTGCCTCACTAAACTCAGTGATACTTTTGGCTTTTTGACATCTATGGCCTGCCTGCCTGCCTTCCTTAAATGTAGAATCACTCTGTAAAAGTTATTTCATGATTCAATGACTTCTTGACAAATTATTTATTAAACTTATATAAAAACCACCTATTGACATTATGCTCAATTATATATGAGCTTCCAAACTCGTACAATAATACAGACTAAATATATATAATCTTATTTTTATGAGGAACTCTATGTGTCTTTGCTCTTTGTTGCATATTTTGACTATTATTGCATTATTCGTATACATGCTGCCCAGTTCTATGCGTACTTGTTTAAGGTGAGTCCTATTGATTACTGTGGACTCATTCTCAAGGAAATATGCATAGGGTTACAGCTGTGGTTAGCCTTTCTTTCTCAGTTACGTAGCAAATTTGTACCTTATTTTTAATCAGCTAATTTACTAGGGAGTTTAACAGTACCACAAACCCTTACAACTCAGCAGACCTCAGCTACCTGGCTGGTGGAACAAGCTAGCTTTGTGGTCCTAGGGCCCCTAGCTGTTGGAGCCAAATGATTTTTCCTAGCAGGGTGTGAGGAAGCAAACTTCCTGGTCAATGAATGGAGCTCAGTTGTCAAGATGATTGTTTGGGACTTCTGTGTTATCATTTTGTCTTATTTGTGTCCCTTGTTTCTTAAACTATTCACCTGCTTATTTTAAATGGTTAATATTTTTATGTGTAACGTATTTTTCTTTTAATAATATAAGACTCCATACTGATATTCAGAGACACCTGAATTTTCTGTTTTAGTTGCTTGTGGTTTAATAAGTATATTTAAATAGTTCTTAGATATCACTGTTGGCAGACAAAGGTGACGCATCTTGGCTTAACAAGTATAGAAAGAATTGCTTAATCGTTCTAGAAGATTAATTTTCACTGGGTTGAGAAAGTACCTTACATTCCAAGGTGGTGGGTTTTTTGTTTTTTCTTTTGCCCAAGTCTTGGGAATTAAGAGTAAGTAACAGTCCAGAGAATGTGATCAGCTTTAAAAGCTTTAAGTGCAACCCATCTTGAATGACCTCATTAATATGTATTGAGTCATTCTTAATGAAATCTTAACTTCTCTCATTTGAGATACCATGAAAGTTTTATTTTTTATTTTTAGGGAGCTGTTCTTCAGCACAGATGTGACTTGGTTCTCAGTAGTGAAGAAAAGTCTGTTGAATAGAATTTAGTATTAAGACTTTATGGTTATCTTTTTTAAAATCTTCGCCTAAAAGGATATGCCAGTGTGGCGTAGTGGTTGAGAGCGTGGGACTGGGACTCAGGCGATCCGGGTTCGAGTCCCCGCTCAGCCATGGAGCCAGCTGGGTGACTCTGGGCCAGTCACAGACTCTCAGCCCAACCCACCTCACAGGGTTGTTGTTGTGGGGATAAGATGGAGGAGGAGAATGACGTAAGCTGCCTTGAGCCCTTTGTAGGAAAAAGGCAGGATATACATCGAAAAATAAATAAATAAACAAACTGCAGACCAGTTAGTCTGACATCAATCCCTGGAAAAATGCTGGAGCCAATTATTAAAAAGTTCATCTGAAAGCAACTTGAAGAAAGTGCAAGCCAGCATGGAATTATCAAAAACAAATCCTGTCAGACTAATCTAATCTCATTTTTTGACTGGGTAACTTTCCAAATGGACAGAGGGAACATGATCCATGAACATGACCAGGAGTCCTCAAACTTTTCACCAGGGGGCCAGCTGAGAGGTGCTGGTGCGGGGCACGGGCCAGAAGGGTGGTGCCAGGGAGCAGGGTGCGCGGGTTGGCGTGGGGCCAGGCATGTGGGAAGGGGAGGCAAGGCAAGGCAGGGGCAGGCACAGCACGTTGAAAACCACTCAGGCGGGCCGGATAAATGGCCTTGGCGGGTCAGACCTGTAGTTTGAGGACACATGACCTAGACTTTAGCAAAGCTTTTCACATAGCTCCAAGCTCACACCGACTGCCCCAGTGACTCCATCCAGCCACCTCATCCTCTGCCATCCCTTCCTCTTTTGCCCTCAATCGTTCCCAGCATTAGGCTCTTCTTCAGGAAGTCCTTCCGTCTCATGAGGTGGCCAAAGTATTTGAGTGTCAAACTACTAGATGGATCAAAAATTGGCTGATGAATCGGACACCAAGAGTGCTCATCAATGGCACCTTCTCAAATTGGATGGAGGTAACGCGTGGGGTGCCACCGGTTCAGTCCTGGGCCCAGTGCTCTTCAACATCTCTATTAAAGATTTGGATGATGAAATACAAGGAAAGATAATTGAATTTGAAGATGACCAAAAGCTGGGTGGAATAACAAATAGCCCAGAACTTCCAGCCACCAGTTCCGGGACCGGTGCTGGTCCGTGGGAGATTTCCCGCTGCTTTGTGGGGGCCACATTCTGCTCGACGCAGACTGGCGCAGGGGCTGGCTGTGCTCCACCGCCTCTTCCTTGGCTGGCTTCATGGGAGGTGCCGTGGTGCAGGGAGGGGAAGCGCAGCTCAAGGGGAGCCGGCTGGAAGCCACACTCCGCCAATTTCAGCATTTCGTTGTCTTGTTGCTCAGTTTCTAGTTGTTTTGGATAATTTTCTTTTTTTCCTTTTCCTCCTTTTTTCTGGTATTGGGTTTTGAAACTAATACATAGAATACTGTATTATGTATATGGTGCTTTTTGTTTTTGCCTCGGCTGTCCCTGAGGTGGTGTTCCTGGTTTTGCTGGTTCCCAGCTGTGAAAAAGTTGAAAACAACTGCCCTAGAAGACAGAATGCAGATGCAGGCGATCTTGATCAACTTGAACGCTGGGCTGAGCAACAGAGTGAGATTCAATAGGGACAAGTGCCAAGTCCTCCACCCAGGAAAGAGAAACCAAATGCATGGATACAGGATGGGGAATACGTGGCTCAACAGAACTGAAAAAGAAAAGGATCTCAGAGTTATTCTGGACAATGAGCCAACAATGCGATGCAGCTGCCAAAAGGACAAATGTTATTTTGGGATTCATCAACAGAAGTATGACTTCCAAATCATGAGAACTTGTAGTTCCTCTACACTCTTCACTAGTCAGACCTCACCTGGAATACTGCGTCCAGTTCTGGGCACCAAGATTTAAGAAAGATGCAGAAAGATTAGAAAGGGTCCAGCAGAGGGCAACAAAAATGATGCAGGGTTTGGAAACACTGCCAAGTCCTCCACTTAGGAAAAAGAAACCAAATGCTTCGATACTAGATGAGGAATACGTGGCTCAACAGAACTGAAAAGGAAAAAGACCTCAGAGTAATTGTGTACAGCAGGCTAAACATGAGCCATCAATGTGATGCAGCTGCAAAAAGGGCAAATGCTATTTTGGGAGGCATCAACAGAAGTATGACTTCCAAGTCACGAGATGGAGCAGTTCCCCTCACCTGGAATACTGTGTCCAGTTCTGGGCACCAAGGTTTAAGAAAGATGCAGAAAGATTAGAAAGGGTCCAGAGGAGGACAGAAAAATTGATCCAGGGTTTGGAAACAGTGCCCTTTGAGGAGAGACTGGGAGAACTGGGCATGTTCAGCCTTGAGAAGAGAAAAGACTGAGGGGGGACATGAGATCCCTCTAGAAGGACCTCAAAGGCTGTCACAAAGAGGAAGGTCAAGAAGCCACCTAGGAAGCTCTCTGTAATTATAGCCAGTGAACGCCACCCTTGGTTGCATAGCCAGAAGCGTGGCTTCTAGTTAGAGAGAGGTATTACTACTGCTACTCTGTATGACTCTGGTGTGCCTGCAACTAGAGTGTTGTGTTTAGTTCTGAGCTCCACATTACAGGAAGGATATAGCCAGGTTAGAGTCAGTGCAGCGAAGGGCCACAAGGTTGGTGGCCGGTTTGCAGGGGATGCCGTATGAGGCGAGACTGAGGGAACTGGGTCTCTTCAGCCTGGAGGAGAGGAGACTCAGAGGGATCTGTTGGCGACATACAGGTATGTGAGGGGATGTCACACGGAGGTGGGGAGAGACCTGTTCTCCCCTCAGAGGAAGGCAGAACGCGCTCCAACGGAGCAAAGCTCAGGGAGCCAAGGTTCAATCTGGATGCCAGGAAGCACTTCCTGACAGTCAGGACACCGAGGGTGTGGAATGGGCTTCCCCGGGAGGTGGTTGAGGCCCCATCGGTGAGGGTGATCAAGGACAGGCTGGACATGCCCATGGTGGGCATGTTGGGAATGGAGTCAGTTGGACCCGGAAGGCCCCATCTGACTTGTCCTGTTTCTGTAAATAAAAGAAATAAATCTCTTCTTGCTGATGCCAGAGCGCAGGACATGGAGTAACCAGTTCAAGTTGCAGCAACCCAGCTTCAGGCTGGACATTAGGAAAAGCTTCCTCACTGTCAGAGCAATATGACAGTGGGACCAGCTGCCGGGAGAGGTGGGGGGCTCTCCCACACTGGGGGCATTCAGAAAGAGGCTGGGCAGCCATCTCAGTGGGATGGTGTGACTTGGTGTCCTGCAAGAGCAGGGGGGTGGACTCGATAGCCTTCATGGCCCCTTCAACTCTACTATTCCCTGATTCTGTGTTATCCTCTCCTTGATTGGGTGGACAATAATGCACTCTGCTCCTTTTATTCCTTTTCCCATGTATATTAATCCAGAGAAATTCAATGGGATTACTGGTCTCTTCTTCCTGTATTTCTTCAGATATGTACTTTAATATAGAGTGCAACGCTGGCTCCTTTTCTCTTTCTACTGCCCCCCTTTTTTGAAACCGGTCATATCCTGCAATTTTGGAATGCCGTCCAGGGAACTCATCCCACCCAGTTTCAGCTGTGCCTGTCAGGTCCTATTTGCACTCATGCACTAAGAGTCCACGTTCGTGCTGCTTGTTCCCCATGCTTTGGGCATTGGTGTACAGACATCTGAGACCGCGTGGGCTTCCTTGTCTATAACTCACTTTCCTTGTTGGAATTGTTGGTAGTTGTGCCCTCATGCACACACAACAGGCGGAGATCCACTGATCGGTTCAAGTCCCGCCCTCTGGAGCAGCCGATAAGACATTTCGACATTGTCCAATAGCCAAAGCTGTCTGGACGGTTTACAGAGATTAAGAGCCTTTAAAATGCCATATTGGATGCCACGCAAAGAACTGCCTGCATACAGGCAGGCACCCGGAACCTCGTCAAGAACCGGGTGTCCAGCAGCAGCTGGGCTCGGACCCGACGGCCCTCACGGCCCCTTCCAACTCTGCCGTTCTGATTCTACGGTCACCTGCTGCCAAGCACCTGGGAAGCGAGGCCCTCTTGGCCGTGTGCCAGAAAGATCAAACAGCTGGTGCCGAGCAGGACCCGGTGGGGAAGGATCTGCCTTGGGAGAACATCCGAGCCCTGGAGCTGGATCCGGCCCACACCCACCACTCCTTTCCACAGTGGCCTACGAGCTGCCCATAGCGCCCATAGGAAGCCCACAGGCAAGCCCCGTGTGCCGCAGCAGCCACCTTCCCCAGCAGGCGCCGCGCAGGGGCAAACCGTGGAGCCCGCAGGACTAGCAGCCACTGGGGGACTGCTGTGATCGCGCCTGCCAGGCCGGCCGGATCGCTGCCCGACGTGACATCGCAGGGCTCACGAGGGCAGCCCCCTCCCTGTGCCCCCTCCCTCCCTCCCTCCCTTCCTTCCTTCCAAGAGGCAGCTGGAGGGAAGGGCTTTCTGTGTGGTGGCTCTTTAAAAAACGCTCTCACTCTCCTGGGCTGTCCCCTTTCCTGGGGGCAGGATGGGGGGCAGAAATGGGGATCACCGAGGACTGCCTGGAGCAAGAGCGAGGCGGCTGCCCTGCCTGGCGCCCTGGGGGGCTCCGAGCAGAGCACGTGAATCACAGCACCAGGCAGCCCAGGGCCGCCCCTCTCAAATCCACCCTCACGTCACCCCTCCCCACCCCAGCCCTCCCCAGGAATAACAAGGCACAGCATCCCTCAGGAATTCCCCCACTCCGGCTGGCTCCCTTCTGGCATTTCCCGGCTGGCATGATGTGGGCCGGGAGGCAGGCAGGCAGGCAGGCAGGCAGGCCGGGGGCTCACCAGCCTCCTCTTCTCAGCGCTTCGATTTCTTTCGCTTTGCCTCCCCCGTGTGCGCGGCCGTGTGAGCGGAGCGTGATGCGTCCCCCTCCGGATGCCACGCACCCAGAGCCCCTTCCGAGGGTTGTTGGCCAGGACCCGTGGGGTGGCTGAGCCCCGGCCCGCCCCGCTCACCTGGAAGATGTCGTTGGCACACTTGCGGCACAGGTTGTGCTGGCAAGGCAGGATCACGACCGGCTTGGTGAACATCTCCAGGCAGATGGGGCAGATCAGCTGCTTCTCCAGGCTGTCCATGCTCTGCGAGGTCCCGAGCATCGGCTTGAAGCCCACGGCAAAGTTCATCCCCGCGGCCCCTGCGCTGCTCCCCCAGGCACTCCGGCAGGCTCTCTGGACGACTGCTCTGGGCCCACCGCCTCCCCTCGCCCTGGCTTTGCGCCTCGCCCTGCCTGCAAGCCCAGGGGTCTGCCCGGCCCTCTCCTGAAGCGCCCCCTGCCCACAGCCTTCCCTCTGCCCTCTGCGCCACTTGCCCCACACCGAACACTGAGGCCACTTCGGACCACCAGCCCCCATCCTGAGCCCACGCGGCTATTTTTGGGCATCACGTGACCCCCCTGGAATGCCAGCTGCCATTTTTGTCCTATCAGTGGGGCACGGAGGCAGCAGCTGTCCACGCCATCAGGCGACGCTGAGTCACCCTTCCCCAAGCGGCCGACGGCACTCGGCAGTGGCGCCCCCAGAGGGGCGGGCTGGCTGGCTGGCTGGCGCAGGCCTCGGGGCAGGGAAGGGGCTCCCGTGAGGGGCGAACCGGAGGGCAGCTGCGGGAGGGAGCCACCATTCACGCAGAACGCCTGCTTCCCAGCTTCAGCCAGCCATCACCCAGGGCCGAGTGCCAGCGCTGCCCGGACGCCTTTTTGTGGGGCATTCTAGCTGCCTGGCTTCCTTTTGGTCCCGGCAGGGCCTGTTGCCCTTGAACCCAACACCCGAGGGATGTGAACCTCTCTTCCCGACACCCCCCAGCTGCACACCTCAGCTGTGTCTCCGATGAGCCCTGCACAAGCAACAAGACGTGTCCCAGAGAAAGCCGCCTCGTGGGCCTGCATTTCGACCCGCCTGGCAGCCTGAGCTGTGTTTCCAGGACCACATGATTACACTGCCTCCCAGGGACTAAAAGGCCGACTCCGCTGCAGCGCTGCCTTCAGAGCTACCCAGGCGGGACGGGACGGGAGGTCCACCCCTTTGCACCAGGCAGGCAGGTAGGTTTGCCGCTCCAAGCTGCCAAGTTGCCTCCAGCTTCTGGTGGCCTCATGAATGAAAGGCTTCCGAGACATAGAAACATAGAACAGAGTGAGTCAGAAGGGTCTCCCGGGCCATCTAGTCTGACCCCCGGCTCCAGCCAGCTCCACTCACGACATGCCCACCATGTGCATGTCCAGCCTGTCTTTGAACACCCTCACTGATGGGGCCTCAACCACATCCTGTGGAAGCCCATCCCATACCCTCGGGGTCCTAACTGTCAGGAACTGCTTCCTGGCATCTAAATTGAACCTTGGCTCCCTGAGCTTTGCTCCATTGGAGCGTGTCCTGCCTTCCTCTGCAGGGGAGAACAGGTCTCTACTCACCTCTGTGTGACACCCCCTCACATGCCTGTATGTTGCCAACAGACCCCCTCTGAGTTTCCTCTTCTCCAGGCTGAAGAGACCCAGTTCCCTCCGTCTCGCCTCATACGGCATCCCCTGCAATGGTGGCTGATTCAGCAGGCACGGCTCACTTGGGCCTTTTCAGCAGGCTGAGCTGTCCTGGAATGAAAGGTGGGCTTCTCTTGTGCATCACTTGCCGGTCAGAGGACAGCAGGCATCCCCAGTGGCAGCGTCTCCCAGGGGAGGGATGGACGCAGGGGAGTTCCACTGGTTCTCTAGCAGAACCAAGCTTTTCTTCTCAGCCTATTCATTGCATACGTCCAGTTCCATACCATTTATGAAGTGGGCAAGTTTGCTCATGACCCCAAACTATTTGGGATGAGTGAAACTGAACAGGACTGAGGAGCTCTGAAGGGGCCTGTCCAAGCTGGGAGAACGGGCATCAAAACGGCCCATGCAGTTCGGTGAAAGCGACTGTGGAACAGAGCGTGTTGGACAAAGCATCCCAGCTTCACGTCTGCGCTGATGGGCGCTGAGCTGGCAGTGACTGAGCAGGAAAGGGGCCCTGGGCGGTGGCGGGCAGCTCGGCGAAGATGCTGGCCAAGAGGGGAAGTCTGTGCTGGGCATACTTAGAAACAGAGAAGCAGAGCAAGTCAGAAGGGGCCTCCCGGGCCATCTAGTCTGACCTCCGGCACCAGCCGGCTTCACTCATGACATGCCCACCATGTGGACGTCCAGCCTATCCTTGAACACCCACACCGATGGGGCCTCAATGACTTCTCGTGGGAGCCCATTCCACCCTCTTGGGGTCCTGACTGTCAGGAAGTGCTTCCTGGCATCCAAACGGAACCTGGGTTCCCTGAGCTTGGCTCCACTGGAGTGTGTCCTGCCTTCCTCTTGGAATGGAACGGAAAGTAGAACTGCCAAAACCTCACTTACGCATCTCTGGAGTGCTGTGCTCAGTTCTGCTCACCTTGCCTGAAAAAGGGCATGACTGGGTTGGGAAGGGAGCAGAGAAGGGCAGCAGGTGTGATTGGGCTGGAGCAGCTGGGGCTGTGCCATTGAGGGGAAAGGTGCACAAGGGGAGGCATGAGAGACACGCTTGAAGCCACGCTTCTGGCCATGCAACCAAGGGTGGCGCTCGCCCTCTTGGCCACCGCATCGCACTGCTGGCTCATGTTCAGCCTGCAGCCGACCAGCACCCGAGGTCCCTTTCACAAGTGCTGCTCTCCAGCCACTGTCCCCTCACCTGTCCTTATGACACCCATTCCTATGCCCCAAGTGCAAAACCTTGCACTGATCCACATTGAACGCCATCCTGTTGTCTCCTGCCCACTTCCATAGTCCAGGTCCTTTTGGATCTGGAGTACCTGCTCCTCAGTTGTGGGCACTGCCCTGGTTTTAGTATTGTCTGCGAATTTGATCAGCAGACTGTTCACCCCTTCTTCATACAGGTATGTGAGGGGGTGTCACATGGAGGTGGGGAGAGACCTGTTCTCCCCTGCAGAGGAAGGCAGGACACACTCCAACGGAGCCAAGCTCAGGGAACCAAGGTTCAGTTTGGATGCCAGGAAGCACTTCCTGACAGTCAGGACCCTGAGGGTGGGAATGGGCTTCCACGGGAGGTGGTTGAGGCCCCATCGGTGCGGGTGTCCAAGGATAGGCTGGACGTCCACATGGTGGGCATGTTGTGAGTGGAGCCGGCTAGTGCTGGGGGTCAGACTAGATGGCCCAGGAGACCCCTTCTGACTCACTCTGTTTCTATGTTTCTTCCATGGCACTGATGAAAAGATTAAACAGGATTGGCCCCAGGACAGAGCCCTGGGGGACCCCACTTGTCACTGGCCACCATCCCGATGATTCCCGGCTAATGGTTACCCTCTGCTTTCGGTCAGCCAGCCATGCCTAATCCACCAGTGTTTCGGTGTATCCCAAAACTCCTGCTTCTCTACCAGGATATCATGGGGCACTTTGTCAAAGGCCGTTTCTTACACTCTCAAAGGACTGGAAGGGGCCACTGGGGCAGAAACCACCCATGCAGAAGCCATGCCGATTCCCTCTCAGCGGAGCCAGGGCTGGGGCTCATCTCCCTATGCACTTACTGATTCTGTCTTTAACAATGCTTTCGAGCAGTTTATCCCGAACACACGCTACGCTAAGTGGACTGGAACTCCCCGGATCTTTCAAAAACGGGTGTCCCATTGGCCATTCGCCAGCCCGCCGGTACATGGGTTTTGGGGACATACATATCAAACATTTTGCTAAGAAGGTCGCAATGTCATGCTTAAAGGCCTTTGAGAACGCGAGGCTGGATACCAGGTGCTTCTACTGCCTGTTGCTTTTTGAGCATTTTGCCTTCTGTCACCACTTGCCTTAACTCCGCCAACCCCCCTCCAGAACGCAGCAGCTCAGCAACACGTCGCTGCTCTTCCTTTCTCAAACTACATTAAAAGGGTGAGGGGCAAAGCTGGCCCACGGTGGGCAGTGAGTGGGAGGCCATCCCGCCACCCAAGACGATGAGCATCACGCACTGCGTAAGCACTGCTCAAACGCATCTAAACCGAGCTCCAGAGGACTGCGGGAAAAGGGCCATTCTCCTCTCTGCAAGCTCCTTAGTGCTCCTTCGGCCCCGTTATCATCCAGCGATCCCGGCACTGCCCCGGCTGCTCTCCTTTGCGGCACCTCTTGACCATCAGCCTCCAGGCCAGTGCAATATGCTGCTCAGGTCTCCGTGCTTCCCTGATCTCCCGTGAGCGAGCTTGTGGCCCCCTCCGATTTCCTCACCCAGGCGCCTTCCGTGTTTTGAAGGAAGCCTTCCTCTCCCCGGCAGCATCCTCCGACCATCCTCATTAACCAGGCTGGTGCCTGGAGGGCCGCAATCGACGCCACAAGCTGCCTCCCCTCCCTGCTGAGTCTTCATGGGCACGTGCACCTCACCACTGGGCCTCCTCGCAGCCAGAGGCGGCTCTTGCTAGCCCGCCTTCTTCCCCAGCTCCATCGGAGGGGCTCGACCGAGCAGCCGGGGGGCCTGTGCCCACTTCCAGGGAGCACAAGTGAGCCCGGGAGTGGCAATCCTCCATTCAGGTGAGGAGACAACCGTCCATGCAGATGCTGCCACTTTGCAGCTGACACCCCAGAGCTACTTCAGGGCCCCGCTCCTCTCCCTTCTTTCCTCACGACCTTCTGAGGTCTCTCACCACTAGGCCGCATTGGCCAAGAGGGCTGGGCGTGTCCATGAGTCACGGGGGGCGAGGAATCACATAGGAAGAACAGGTGATCAGGAAGGGAGTGTGGGCCTTCCACCTCTGCCACGTGGGATTCTTGAGAGAAAAACTGTGTGACAGACTGTGGGCTGGCCCAGCATGGAGCCCCCTCTCCCAAACCGGCTCCCAGGGAACGTGGCCTCAGCAGAAAAAGCAGTCTGCTTCACTTGGGTAACGCAGGGAAGATGGAGAAGCCCATCTGGACAAGCGCCGGAGGGGAGGTTTTGGGATCTACGCAAGATGCGAAAGGCCTCAGGGCTTCAAAGGGTACATCTCTTATTCTCACTAAAGTATGGAAATGAAAACATAAATGGGAATGCACAGGATCTGCAAAGGAAAGGTTCACAATCTTTCCTTGATTTTTCTTGTGCTAGAATAGATGGCCCACCCTGGGATTGGGGATGGGAGACCGTCCCTCCAGCCAAGGGACGACAGATGCCCGTTCATCCTCCCGGGTCTTCCACGCCCTACCACCCGCAGCAGCCATGGGGCCAACCCACGGCTAGCCAGGTCCGGCACGAGCGCACAGAGGGAGGAGCAGGGCAACCCGCCCGAGGGGGAGGCTGTGCGGTGCCGCCAGCGCTTCGCAGCACTCGGTCAGTGCCAGCCCACCCATCCCCGAGGCCCACAGAAGCTTCTCCTTAGGTGGAGAGACCACCAGAAGAACAGCCGCTTCCTTCGGAAACCTTTAATTGTGCTTACAAAACCCTTAACAACTCCCCTGTCACAGTGCGAAGGACAGCCCTCGCCCCCAGGCTGCCCTGCAGGAGGGGGAGGAACCTGCAGGGCGACTGGCTCTGCCCGGGAGGGGCAGGGGAGCCGTCAGCTGCCCCAGGCGGGCTGGCACTCCAGAAACGGTGGCCCTTCCTTCACGTCCTTCGGCGAGGCTTGGCACCACACGCAGGGCAAGAGGGGCCCTCCGGCTCCCGAGGGGCCAGCACAGCAGGGTGGCACTGGCGAGAGGGACTCCGGGAGTGGCCCCCCCCACGGGCCTGCCACCAGGGGCAGTCCTCACTGGCCTGCTTCTGCGCCAGGGCGCTTTAGCTGAGGCTGGCGGGAGCAAAGCCGGTGCGGGGAGGGAGGCGGAGGCAGGCTGCTGGCTGCGGGCTCCCGCCACCTTCCGTTCCCTCCCCACGCCCCGCAGACCCCGGCGCCAGCCCAGCGACCTCCAGCCTGGCTCTGGGGCTGCTGGAGCAGCGAGTCCTTGGGCGGCCCATCAGGGCCAAGGCAGAATCGCCCCGCTGGCTCTGCCCCAGCGACAGGCCAGCTCTGGGGCAAGGTGGCGGCTCATTCCCTGAGAAGACGTGCGGCGCCAGGAGTCCAGGCACCCCCTGGGCGCACTTCAGAGCGAGGCTGTGGCCGTTCGCCCGGGCCCCTGCCAGCCCTTCCTCAGCAACTCGGGCTGGGCAGGGGGCTTCGGAATGGCTGCAGAAGATGCAAGGGGTCTTCAGCTGTGACTGGAGGCCGAGGTCTGAAGCGAGGAGAGCAGAGGAGAGGAGGAGAGAGGAAGGTTAGTGCTCCACAGCAGAAGGGGCAACTGCCAAAAGCAGTCATCCTGCCAAAAGCAGCTTGGATGGGGCACTTGCTGGGCAGAACGGCCCTCACGAGCCAAGAGCCCCCCCCCCCCGCAGCTCATAAGACAAACGGACCCGTTGGCACGCAGGGAGCAGTGGGGGCAGGGAGGGGCTCCTGCCCCAGCTCAGGGCATGAGGGCGATGTCCCGGAAAGCCAGGCCGCTCTCGAGCAGGGGCCCATCCAAGCACACCGGCCAGCAACCGGCCAGCTCCCAAAGGGGAGCGCGGGGCTGCCCCTCTCAAAAAGCTGGGAGGACCCCATCTGGAAAGGCACTTCCCCCTCCCACCCAGGAGACATCACTGTGCGACCCCCGAGTCTTTGCTGAGGGCTTGGCTTTGGGGCCGCCCGACCCCCCCCCCCCCCCCCCCCCAAGTCCGTCACAGGCTGTGAGCCAGAAGGGCAAGGGCTCCCGCAGGGGCTGCGACGAGGCAGCCACGGCTGGCCCGAGAGTGGCGGCGGCGATGTGGCTGTGCGGCGAAGCTGCAGCCCCTGCCAGGCCTCCCGGATTTGCCCTGCCGGGCTGCCCTGGGTGCCCTCCCCCCCCCCGGGGCCTGTCTCTACTCACAGGGTCATGGCTTGCAGGGCTGAGTCTCGTCTGCAGTGTGCAAGGAGGAGCTGCTGGTGGGCTGCATTCGGATGGCGCCGCCTCCTGGGGAGCGAAGGGGGTCAGAGAGCACTGGCCGGGCCCAGAACGGTCAGGCACCGGGAGCGGGCAGGGCAAGGAGCCGCTGCCCCCATCCCGGGCAAGGGGGGCTCCGCCTCCCACTCCGTGCAGGCTCCCGGTTCCCCAGCGCCCACCGCAATGGCTCACCATTGTCCTCGGCACGGATCTGGGCCTCCAGGTCTTCCGGGTTGACGTACTTGTAGGCCTCCTCATCCTCGGGCGGGCGGCACCTCCCACAGCAGAAGCAGCAGCAGCAGCAGCAGCAGCAGCAGGAGAGCAGCGAGCAGCAGACCAGCAGGGGCTGGGGGAGGAGGTGCGCTCAGTGCCGCTCGGGGGCCCGCCAGGCTGCAGTGGGGTGGCCCCTGAGGGCCCCGGCACCGCCGCGCCTCCCGCCCCGCCTCACCTTGAACCACCACTTGGACATGAGGAAGTAATACTTGACGCTCTCCTCCCCGAACTGCTCAGAGACATAGAGCCCCATCGAGCCGTACTCATCGTAGACGCGGCGCTTGGTCTCGTCACTGAGCGTCGTGTTGGCATTGTTGATCTCCTTGAACTTCTCGGCAGCTTCGGGATTATCCGGGTTCTTGTCTGGATGGTACTTCAGGGCCAGTTTCCTTGTGGGGAGTGCACAGAAAGGTTCACAAATTCCTCCAAGGATCTCTTTGGGCCCAGGAATCTCCACGTGACAGGCATGGCTCGCCAGGAGAACCTCTCCCTCCTCGGCTGAGACGTGCCCCCTGCCCCCATCTGCCCCTCCGCATGGCAGGAAGGAGCCATTTGCAGGTGGCAGCGGGGTCAGAGGACGCTGCCTGCCGGGAGAGGACCTGCACCGCGGGCCGGAAATGGCGCATTCACCCATTCAGTCAGTTTATATCTGCTTTTTCCACTAAATGTTGTGTTCAAGAAAGTGAACAATAAAATCAAAAGGCTTTAATTAAAATGTTAAAGAATACACGATGGGAAATAAAAACCAAGGTCTAACACGTGAAAGAAGTACATTTTCTCAAGGACCAAAACCATCTTTGCTTTTTGGCAGAACAGCACGAGATGAGACACACCTGGTCTTGATCGCTGGGGAGTGCCAGGACGCGAGCGCAACCCCCAAGAAGGCCCTGCTCTTGCATTTTAGCTAACTGTGCCTCAGGCAGTGGTGGGGCAACAGGCTTCTCCCAGCCATCTGGGGCCGAGTCATAGGGCAGACCGTGGCCTTTCTGACAGCTAGTCGCAAGAGCGTAATCGATTTGTTTTACAACATATGGGCCACACCTCAGCCTATGTGGAGATCAGAAGGCATCGTTCAATTAAAGAAATGCTCCTAGGTCCCAACCAGTACACTGAACTGCACTTAGGGAGAGACCAATACCAATAGGCAGGGTCTCTGCTGCTGTAACCAGGGGGCCACATGGTCCCTGCTAGCAGCTCCACCCAAAAGTCAGGTCAAAGCCCTCCAGACCAGCACCGTGCAAAGGGGAAACCCGCTGCGGCCATCCAGACAGCCTGTGACTAAAGTTCTAGACCAAGGAAACCTGACTCTGGGACTCCTCTATATTTCACTCAGATTTAGGAAGCATGTAAGATAAACAAGCCCAGTGAAGTGTACAAAATTAAAAAATGCCAGGCTGCTGGGGGGTTAGTGGAGGGGAGGGAGTTACACAGTTAGCAGGCTGCTACTGGAGGAGGCCTTCATGCCACGTCCCAGGCTGTGCCCAAGCCCTGCCCTGATCCAGTGGCCCCGCTCCGCCGGCAGCCTGCTTGCCTTCCTGCTCCTCCACCAGCACATGTGCTCACCCGCCAGCCATTCCTTGCGTTAGGGCACTGCCACGGTGCGAGGCTGATCTAAAAGCTCTGAAGGCCTGTTGACATGACCCCTGCTCCACACTCTCAAGTCCCTCCTTGCATCCACCAAGACATAAAAGTCACTTGAAAAAATGAAAACAGGACCCAAGATTCTGAGCATGCCGAACTTGGAAAGCAAGTCCCTCTTTCTTGGTATTTCCAGTGCTAGCCCAGAATAGCCAAATTCTCCACCCTGAAAGGAGCAGGACATGCACCTCCAGGGACGCTGCCCAGGGATCCCGTGGGTGGAGGGAATGCCCAGGCAAGGCCCCTGAAGAGGCACAGAAGGAATATCTGCTCAGACTTCCCAGGCAGCATTGCCCTCTCTTCCCTCCTGACCGTTTTGGGGCTTCCCCAGTAAGGCTTCACGCATCCTAGCTGGGCTGCAGTTGGCTGAAGACACCTCTGGCCGAGGAACACTCAGCAAGACGCCTCCCGGGCTCCCCGACACTCCCCAGGAAGCACGGAGGCTCTCAACATACCTGACTGCACCCCCAGCCACCTCCTCTCCCAATCTACTCAGCAAGCCCCCGCATCAGAGCGAGCTCTTGTCCTGCGCCACCCAGGCCCAGCCGAGACGCGGGAGAGCCAACCGCAGATCTGGAGGATGCAAAGCACCGGGGAGGGCACCTAGATGCCCAGCACAAGGAAGACCGCAGAGGGCCCCAGCCTGCCAAAGCTACTCCACCTGTACGCCTTCTTAACATCTTCTGAGGAGGCGCCCTTCTCCAGCCCCAGGACACGATACAAGCTCTCCCCAGACCGCGACATCTTCCGCTGCGGCCGGCCCGCATCACCCATCTTGTTCTAGATCAAACGGGAGCACAAGCACACTGGGTCAGGGCAGGGCCTGGGCACAGCCGGGACATGGCCCAGAGGCTGGCGGGAAGGCTGGGAATGCTGCTCAGGAGCAGAAGAGACCGCAGCCTCCTGCACAAGGGGCCGGGGGGCCCATCTGCCCCAGCAGGGAAGTGACGACCGCATCGTCCCTGGGACGGCATCCAGCACACTCGAGAAACATTTCCTCTTCTAGAGTCCACTAGGGCAGCCTTGGACTCCCTCGGCAGTTTCCTGCTGGGCCGCTGGAGAGGCGGCCTCTGGGACGCTGCTTTGCCAGCTCTTGCCAAGACACACCTTGCTTCCGGGTGTCTGGCCATGGGGCTCCGGGATGGGAGAAGCCCAGCTGACCCCTCCAGGCCGCCTCCTCTGCTGGAGGAGCCTGTGGGTCACCTTGGGGGCTCATAGGGTCGACCCCCACCACAAAGCAGCCCCCAGGCCCGAAGGATGAGTCGGCTGGGGCCGGCTTCACAAGCCCGGGGCCCCGGCTGGGCCGGCCCTCAAGCGGCTGAGCCCCTCGCTGGAAATGCCGGCGGGAAGCGGCGACCTCTCAGTCCGGCCAGGCCTCGGAAGGCTGCGGGCGACGCGCCTCCCCGGGCCCGGCTGCGGGCGGAGAACGCCGCGCCTGCCCTCCAGGGCCCCGGTTCCGCGGCGGGGCCGCAGCGCGCCCTCCAGCAGGCGGGGCCGGCCGCTGCCCTCGCCCCGCAGCACCGGTGCCGCTCGCCGCGGGCCGGAGAAGCGGGCGGAGGCGCGGGCCAGGGCTCGCCCCGCCAGGCGGCCGAGCGGGGGCAGTG